AGAGAGAAGAGAGAGAGAGAGAGAGAGAGAGAGAGAGAGAGAGAGAGAGAGAGAGAGAGAGAGAGAGAGAGAGAGAGAGAGAGAGAGAGAGTGTTGCAGAAATTTGACACCGCCTCGACCCAAAGAGTGAGAGCTCCAACAAAGACACGTCCCTGTTCGTAGGGTGAGAGAGACGAAGAAAATAATTAGAAACGTACCAAAATCCAAAGGCACAAGGAAGTGAGGGGTAAGGGAGACTGACAAATCGCACCTTTTGAGCCAGTGGCACCTCAACGGTTCAACCCCCAATGTCACACTGCTGCATATCAGCACTGAGAGCATGAAGGCCAAGCCAATTCAAACCCCAGCCCATCCAGGCCCAGCCCATCAACGCCCTGCCTAACAAGGTCTAGCGGCTCTAGCCTCTCAAGGCCCAACCCATCAATGCCCAGCCACGACGATCCCATCAACCCCAATGTCACACCCTGCTGCATTAGCTTCTGCATATCAGCACTGTGCCACTGACAGTACTGAGCAAGTGAAGGCCGAGCCGCCCATCAACATCAGCCTATCAATGCCCAGCCCATCAAAGCCCTAGCTAACTAGGTCCAGCCTATCAAGGCCCGTCCCATTAACGCCCTATCAAAGCCCTGGCCGATGCGCCCATCAATGCCCAACGAGGCCCATCCCAACAACGCCTTGTCTAACAAGGTGCAGCCTATTAATGGCCAACTGATCAGGACCCAGTTGCCCAATGAGCCGACGTGCAGCATCAACACCCTGCGGAGAATTGACACAGCCTCGTGGTTCGGGGACGAAACACAGCCTCGTGGTTCAGGGAGCAAACGTAAGCTCGAAGACTTGCTTGCAGAAGTTGCAGGTGTTCTGCAGGTCCGGTACAGGGCCCTGCTTCTGGCGGGCAAACCTGCACTGGTCCCTGGGCAGTCTTGACGTGGGTGATGAGTCTACCTGTATTTTGACCTTTAATGACTGACTCTTGCCGCTTGCGAGCCTCCAGGCACAAAGTGCAGCAATTCGGACATCTCCGCCGAATTGCTGGACACGAAGTGGTAGCCAAAACTGCTTTTGCTCATTTGAGTCGTTTCCCTTATGGAGGAGATGACATGAGATGAGATGAGATGGATAGAGCATTGAAGCACATCCAACGGTGCTTACAGCACATCCAATGCTGCACTTTTGGGTGCGCGTGTCGTTCCACTGCAGGGTCGCGTGCCCCGTGAAGCAGATCAGGCAGCTCTGACTCCGACACCACACCGCGCCTGCACTGCAATAGTAGGGTCTGGTTACCTACCTTATTCCCCCAAAGGGCCCGAACATAACACAGCTTCGTACTACCATCATACCATGACCGTATCTCAAGTTGGCCAGAATAGGGAGCCTGCTCGCAGGCATGATAATAGGAGTAACTGTTGTGTTGGACGAAATAGGGTCCGTGAAGATGCAGCAAATTCCAGGGCGTTTTCCGATGCTGTTGGGCAGCTGCCGCAGCTCTACTCACAGGTCCAGATTATAATCCAACTCGATATGCCAGGGACTGACTAGTGCTGTGGACAGAGAGGCTGAATCGCGGTCACTCAGATTTACTGCATTCCACCTCGGAGGACTTCTGAAGAAAGAATACGTCAGATTAGAGCCCAACTCGGTACGCCAGGAGCAGAGTAATGCTGTGGACAGAGACCAGTGGTCACTCAGATTCACTGCATTCCACCTCCGAAGACTTCTGAAGAAATAATACGTCGCCTCACAGCAGCAGTCGTTAAACATTGCAGGTACTGAACCTTACATAGGTCGCACGTCAACAGCGCTTAAATACCTCGCACGCCAGCAGGACATCTATACGTATATATATAGTCAAACAGAGCTGCCCGGTAAACCGTAGGCAGAGACGGAGAAGAGGACAAGAAACGAGGGGCTGTGACAAACTCAGTCTGTTTCGTCGGAGCTTCACCGACTCATATATATATGTATCGTCAAACATATATACAGTCAAAAATAGTCCTGAGCTCTTCTCCCTCTCTGCCTACGGTTTACCGGGCAGCTCTGTTTGACGATATATATTTGACGATAATGACTATATATATCGTCAAATAGAACTGCCCGGTAAACCGTAGGCAGAGAGGGAGAAGAGGACAACAAACGAGGGGCTGTGACAAACTGTTTCGTCGGAGTTTCACCGACTCATCAGGAGGCTGAACCCTCTCATATATATATATATATATTTTTACCTATTATTTAATTCAGGAAAAATTCTGGTAAAATCGGGTCCGCAGTGCGGACCAGGACGGCCGCGGACGCGGCCACATATGCGACCGCCATCCGAGATCACCCCCGCGGACGTGTCCGCGGGTGTTTCATAGTTTGACGTCGCTTCTTTCTTGTTCTGTTGTCGGGATCTTGGCGCGGTGGTCGCGCGGGATGTTTTGCTTCTTTTTGAATTTCTTGTTGAACCTTGTTGAGCCCTCGATGGGAATCGAAATTTCGGACCTTCTTTTCGGATTTGCGCTTTTTGCATTTTTGCAGTAAGTAGGAATTTAGGAATTTAGGAAATTCTTTTGCCGCGCGGTGCCTTTTACTTGCGCGCTTCTTTTTGCGACTGCAGCGGAGCTCTGATTAGTCGGCACCCTTAATATTGTGTGTAACTGTAATTTTTGGACAGGCACCATTGTAACTGTATCTTTCTTCTTGAGCTTCGTCTTTCCCACTCTCTCTCTTCCCTTCTTGCTGAGTCTGAGTGGCCAGTGGGCTGCATGATCGGATCGATGCGTGGAGAGTGGCTACGTCCCCCACGCCGCGGTCCAGCCATGCAGAACGTAGGCAATCCTTTCCCTTCTCTCTTCCAAGTCCTTGCAATTCTGTGTTCTTCGCGCAGACATGCATGCTATAAATTTTGGCTGCGCGATTAGATAACTCCCTTAACCAGTTGTTTGAAGCTCGGGGTAGTGCGATCAGTGAGGGTCGGCTCACGAGCGAAGTAAGAGGTGAGTTGAAGTGGGAATTGGGCGACCCGACGAGCTGGTGCCGAATGCACGGGGTTGACGCATGGGGTTACGACGTACTGTAACGCGCGGGCGAACCTGACGGGTGCAGGAGGACTAAGCGGGGTGACGACTTCGTGGGTTGGTGCGTGACGACGGACTGTCCGCATCGGAGAGAGAGA